ATGACTCAGGCTGGTTGTGTGGGTGTGTGTGTGATTGAGAGAGGAGTGTAGAGAGAGAGAGAGAGAAAGTGAGCGAAAGAGAGATTTGAGAGAGGAGAAGAGAGAGAGAGAGGAGAGCGCGAGGAGAGAGAGAGAGAGAGAGAGAGAGACATGTAATGCAAGCCTCATTTCAGCCTTCAGTGGCTGGTTTTGCAAGCTCCAGTTTGGATTTCATTGCTACTGTTCTTATCAGCTTCAATCTCATCGACAAATGGAGCTGAGCGTTTATCCTTCACCTTCGTGGCACCCTGCTGGCGTTCACCTGGAGAGAGAGAGTGCAAAGTAAGATTTAAGTCAAAATCAAGGCATAGGAATGTGAAATACTCCTCCAAAGGTACGTCACGAAGTACCTCAAAATTTACGCACTTATGTACAGACCTTGAGTAAAATGCGTAGCTTAGTTATCACCTGGAAATTAAAGCATTTACAATTCTATTGACTTGCACAAACCTACCTTTTATCAGTTTCAAACTATATCAGGTATTTTTCCTTAATTACTGAATAAGGTAAGAAGAGCTTGGCTCAGTAGTCGGAGCACAGAGCTGGACCTCTCTGGTGACACGTGGGCAGAACAGAAGGACCCTGGACAAAACTGCTGTCCACAACTGGGACACACGCCCACCACCGCCCGCCCGCGTCCCGGCGCTCAGCAGCACAACACCTTCCAGCAGGCAGCTAGGAGTGTGTTCAGCTGGCAGAACCGGCACTGTCACCAGTCCAGCTCTCAACCGCAACAGACACAAGAACCTCCTCTCGTACCCCCTCATTGCCATCAGACTTCGTACAACACGCTCTCAGTACAAGGCACGCGAGGACAAATACGATTAGTACGACAACTACATACGATCTTCCTCTATTCCACTGTTTTATTCCCACTAATTGCAACGGTCCATCGTAGTGTGCACTGTTTACTTCCATTTGCACTACCCCACTGTCATTTGCACTGTTTACTGTTTGCACTGTTTATCTGTAGCTACTAGTTAATTGTATGTATATCTATCATTATGATATATTAATGTACTATATAACGCGATATATATAATAGTTTCTCATCTTTTATTTTATTCTTACAGGTTTAGGGGTTTTTAATTTTAGTTGTATGTTTTGTATTTTGTATGCTACTGGATACTTGAATTTCCCTCGGGATAAATAAAGTATCTATCTAATCTATCTAATCTAATCTAACAATCAGAATCTGTAAAACCATATTGACATCAATAAACAAACTACCTCCAGCACTGCCTTGTTGTAAAAGACGAATGATTCAGAAACATCCCGATGTTTTGCCCCACTAACGGTAAAGATATAAGAATAAGGACGTTGTCTCTCCATGTGTGATGTCGGACCTTTTCAGCTGCCTGAGCTTTCGCTGTGACCTCCTGCAGGACTCCGTCTGCCCTCTGGGAGGCGACAGCGAGCTCCTGTTCCTTCACCACCAGCTCCTCAGAGAGCTGAGACACCGACTGCTCCGCCTCCATCAGTTTACACAGACCTGCATAAAACAACCACCATCAGCACACACTCTCTCGGTACACCAAGGCACTACTAAAAGCACCAGTAAAGCCAATGCTGTCTAACACAACTACAGGAAGTAGGTATGCTCAATATGGGTTGTCTGACATCACTCTTCAAATGTTCATACATTTTGTTTTAGTAAAGTTCATATTCAAAATAAATTATTATTATCAACTGATAATTAAATTGTCCCGATAATTTATAATAATATAAATTTTCCATTATCGGCGGATAATTTATGTGCCCTGATAATTATTATGCATCCCTAAAACAAACATAGCAATGTTATTTATCACACTTTTGCCACGGACTTGGTAGGAACTGTGAGTATTACCTGTCTTCATGCGCTCAGCCAGTGTGCCGACATGAGCGATCTTCTCGGCGTAGATGATCTTGTAGCTGTCGATGAAGGACAGGTAGGATTTGGGTGTCACAAACGTCTGGCGGCGGAAACGCTCAAAATACTCAGTGCATTTCTCTGCCACCAGATCCTGCAGGGAAGGAGGTCACGTGATGAGTGGGCTAAACATGCTGACAATGCACACCTGATCACACGGCGAGCACTACCTGGAAGGTTCCCATGGTAACCACCACGCTCCGCTTCACGTCGTCTGAGCAGCGGAGGTCCTGGTACTGAGACAGGAAGTGATCCGACACGGCCACCAGGGCGTCCCGAGGCCAGCGCTGGAACCAGTCCACTGTGCAGCCCGATATCAGGCCTGGAAACTGTTCAGGTCAAAGGTCAAAGGTCAAAGGTCAGGTATTACTGCAGTACACAGTGTTGATCTTTCCTTATGTCAGGGGAGATACAGCACAACTCAACTTTATTTATAGAGCTTCATGTAGCAAAACCAAGGCATAAAATATTGCATGGTTAAAAATGAAGAAAGGTTTAAGTTTGATGAAAAAAAGCGTTTTACCTACCTTTTACCTTGTTAAAATGAGAGTAAGTACAATTTAAATCAGAATCTAAAATCACTCCCAAATTTGTGACATTAGTTTCAATCTGTTTTGTAAGGTCACCAAGCATTGACTGCAGTTCAGTGAGACAGAGCTATACAATTAAGAATCGTCAGCGTAAAAATGGTGACTGACATTGGTGGTGATACAGCTGAACTCTCAGTCTGCGGCTCACCTTTAAGGCACGAGTACGAAATTTTTCCCCGACAGGCGAGAAGCAAAGGACGACGTGGAGGTTGCTCCGCACTCGGGACAGGAAGAAGTCGTAGAGGTTTTCTGAGGTCGGAGGTCGGCGAGGGTGCTGTCGCTTCATGACAGGAATCAGATCCTGAGTGATGTCATCCAGCTCATCACGAGCAAATAGATTTGAAACTTCACCGCTCGCCAGGACGTTGTTCATGTATTCTGGTGAGGAGAGGAGATTTCAGTTTCACACAAAACAACATTTGCAAGGAAAACAGACTGCTAAAGTGAGACAACTACTGGGCAGATGTCCATTAAAGTTCCACTCCAGATGTTTTGAAGTATACTCTGCTCCGATGTCACATGTGTGTTCACTTTGTTATTACATATTAGATAGTGGAAGGAAGCTCCAGGATCCGGTTTACATCCAAAAACTGAACACACTACTATGTTTGCTGTCAAAACTTTGACTATGCCCTTTGTGCTGACAATCTGCTCTGCGTTGGAGGTTTCAGGTTTCTTTGTGAATGTTTCGTACGTACTCAGATTTCAGAAGAGGAATGTGAAAACACCTCTTTAGTGACAAACTGCACAGATAAGAGTCAGTAAAGTCAAGGTCTTATATTTTAGAGGACAAACATTGACATTTATGGTTTCCAGAGGATGACCCTGATGACTTTGGTGACCTTTCTTCTTCATCCATCATCAGAAAAAATATATCACAATCTAATTTACTGATCATATTCCTGTTCCTCAGAGGAGGAACACTTTAGATTTTAATGACTACATGGCCTTTTCTCTAGAGCCAACCACTACTACTGGTAAGTAGTCTTGCTACAAATATAAAAATAGATAAACAGGCATCCGCTACCAAGGAAGGCTTCGTCTTTAATGTCGTTGTCAGTGAAGAGGAATGTGACTCCTTTTCCCTGTTGACCAGCGATACGATACAGAGTCTTCAGATCCTCCAGCAGGTTACTGCTGCTGTATGACCTGCAAGACACACACACACACACACAAGTTAAAACATTAACTTTTTAGTTATAAAACTTTTTATCCCCTGGATCAATAACTGCCTCCATTGTAGCAGCTGCTGACAGTAGCTCACATACTCATGTATGGACAGTATGTACACACATTCATACAGACTGAACGTAATCCTCTCCTCTATCCTCTAAGTCACAAACAAGTAAAATCCAAATATTGTGTCGTGTTCCAGACCTGGTTAGTGTGATCTGGAAGGTTTGGTATCCCGCGATAAACGACGCCAACCTTGTCAGACTCTGCTTCCCCGACCCTCCGACCCCGACCAGCAGGGCGTTCCCCTGCGGTGTCCGTAGGATCCGTGAGATCCGCATCAGGTGGGTCATCGCATCCTGCCAAAGAACCAAACAGAGAGGGTTGTTCACCAAAGTTAAAGTTATTAAAGTGCGAATGTTGCTGCTCCTCTGGTGTGTTAGGTACTGACGGCTAACTCCCCCCATGAATAAAGTCCAGTGTTTTTAATATTGAAGGGAGGAAGTTGCAGTCATTACCTTAAAGAAGACGAGGTCCATGGCTCCGCCCCTCACCGCGTCATTGTACTGCTGCTGGAAAACAGACAGCCGCTCCGCCAGAGCGTCCAGTGACGGGATTGGTTCATACATCTGTCAATCATAGCAATATTTTACAGCACTGAAACCTCAGAGGGGTATCACACATGACAAACGCTATAGCAGTAAGACAGAATTGAGTTGAGGACCTTCGGAGCCTCCAACTCGGTATCTTCAGGTTCGTCCCCCGTCGCCTCCGGAGCTTCACGCAGGAAGTCCACGAAGCAGCTGTCCCACTGAGCATGCTCAGTGAGAGCTCTCCCATGATCTTCCACTGTGATCTGAAGACAGGAGGGTCAGATGAAGTTAGGAACATGTAGTCACTATACCAATGGTGTGTTGGAAGAAATATAACTAAATAACAGATTTACACAGTATGTAGTAAACCCCACACACCTTCTCCATGATACCGTTGAAGGTTTGTCTGTCGCTGCTGTCAATGAATCGGTCTGCGATCACTCTGCAACATTCATGATGGAAGAGGGCAGAGAGGAGCTCGGAGCTCTGACACACCTCGGACTTCACTGTCAGGATCCCCTTAAACACAACAGAACACATACTGAGACGTATTCTGATAATGAATGATCTAATTATTAAGACTGATAACTCTGACTGAAGAAAAACAAATGAATAGTTCCATACAGAAGTTTTACTCATTCTCTCCCAAAGTAGAAACACTGAAGGAAAAAAGAAGCTAGCCAAAAGCTTTACTGGGGGTGGCAAGGCCTTCTTTATTTTAAGGGGGGTAAGAAAACAAGAACAAAAAGAAAAAAACACTGAATGAATATCCCTCAAAATATCAGAAAAATTGATCTCTGATCAGTATTCACAGAAAATAATCTGCTCATAATTCATCCAAATCTCTTTCACACAAACTCCTGCTGTCACTATATATATATAATATATATACTAATATATATATAGTTAATATTATATATATATATATACAAAAAAATAAAATATACAAAAATGTACTCAATGATAGAAAAGGGTCCCCCTAATGAAAAAGGTTGGAAACCACTGGTCTGTGTGGAAGTGTTCAGTCATTCAGACATGTTCAGTTTGCTCATTCAGAGTTAAACTACCTGCCAGATTCTGCTGAGGTCCCTCAGGTTGAAGATGTAGTGAAACTTTGCAGGAGATGGTAACATCTGAGGACACAGAGGAGAGAAGAATTCACACACAAACCAAAGTTATTTCTGGAAACATACACCGACTTCTCTGTCAGAGAGAACTTTTTATTATTAGGCCACTGACGGTCAATTGTAGGGAAAATAAATTCAGATAGGGTTAGCAGAAGTAAGAAGTAGGTTGGTCTCAGAAAAAGTGTCCTGCTGAGATATACATCAGGCCTTCAAAATAAAAGCTGCATGAACTGTTTTTATAGCGTAATACAGTATTTATTATATTCTTCATTTTTATTTCTGATTTTATTTTTTCCCCAAAAGAAGTAAAAAACATTTTTTTGTTGAAATGAAAAAAGAACAACAACAGAAAAACTACAACTATATATGAATATGTTACCTTTGCCTTCACGGCCTGCCACATCCGTCTGGTGGTGGGCACGAGGGCGGCTGCAAGGTCGCAGACCTCGGCAGGGAAACCTCTCTCTGGGCAGAAGTACCCCTGAGCCACAGTGCCGAAGATCTTGTCGATGGAGGAGTTGGAGGGCAGTGTGCAGTTAAAGATGGAGAACTGCCTCTTCAGGCGCTGAGGAATGTCGTTACGACCTCCGCCTGGGTGTATCATGGCCGCCACCAGCTGTTAAAGGTTATCACACTCTTTATTCACACTGCTGTTCGGGTTTTAGAAAGAAAGGGCAGACGTTCCAGGCATCATCCAGCTCTAATATTGTTTATGGTTCATTTTGTTTGATGTTCAGAGGGGTGTCATTCTGACCAGGACTATTACAGAAATACACGGATGAAAGCGCTAGAAAAAGCTCAGCAGGAGATCTTTGAGTTAAGACTATTTGTGCTACATACATAACTGTTCAAAAGGTTAAAAATTGAGCTCTGTGTTCAATGTAAAAAGTGTCATTTGGAGACTAAAGTATGATTATTGTGACTGAAGGAAAAAAAGACCTTAGAGAACAACCTTCGGACAGTAACTCGCTCATTTGTTGCCTCCTGTTGTTACCTGAACATCCACCACAGTGATGAACTCTCCTGGACGATCCAAACTGTAGAAACCTCCCTGCTCCATCAGCTGACGGACAATCTCATTAGTTATCTGAAGGAGACGGGGGCGGGGGACAAGGATATCAACAATCTGATTGGCTTTGTGCATATGCAGATAATAAAAAAGTACAAAACAAACTGGTTGTGCAAATCTGAAAGGAAGAGAGAGTAAGAAGAAATCAGATCATTTCCACCATTCCATGTACAGTGCCAAATAGCACAACTTTTAATCGCTAAAGTCTGTAGATTGCACTGACCCAGTCAATCCGATAAATTAACTAGCAGGTATTTGTTCAAATACAATGCAAAAAATCACCTAAAAT